TGGTTTAGGATTAGCACACAAGTACAGTCACTGCAGTGGGAACAGTGCATCCCACCTTGTTTTCCAGAGCGATACCTCATTTCAGCACCCACAGGGTGGTGTTACCTGAGGCCTGGACAATGTGTACACAAAAATTCTTCTCAGAGCCCAGTGAGTTCTCCTCTTGATCTGCCAGGTAAGCAAAGGCTCATCATTTTCTTACAGATGGCACTAATCCACTTCAACAATAAATTGGAAGCTCTGTTCTTCAGAATTCCTTTGAAATATCTGGGGTCAGTGAAGATCCTATAGGAAAAAGGGGTGTAGGTATGTAAGAGTGTGAAGTGTGTCAAACATACTGCAGAAGGGCACCATGGCAGACAGGTACTATCCTACTCAATTTTGCAGGGGGAGAGGGTTTCATTAGGCCTATGTGTACTGAACGGGCTCGTCTGCAGACAGCAATTTATCTAAAGAGAAATGATCCCTCTTTTAGTACAATGTTTTGTTCCTACAAAAGTCTTCACATTTTCTTTACTTTCCACTGAGCAGGTATTGCCTACAAAGACTTTCCATCTTTTTTCCTCCTCTTCTTCTTCCAGAACTGCAAACTTGTTGATGGCTTTGAATTGTTCAGAGCCGTTCAAGCACATAGCAAGTCGCTTTCTACCTGCTCGGTACTTCCATTTGAGCCATTTCAAAGACAGGCTATAATTCTTACAAGGTAGATGGGCTGGCTGTAGAAGGGAAGAGAAAAAAAGGCCAGAGGGACTGGAAACAACCTGAAAATACTAGTACAATTTCAACACCTTTCTCTTCTCTTTGTTTGACAAATTACAGGCAGCTTCTGGCAATACTCAAGAGGTGACAAAACCTCCTTTATTTTAATGTCAGACATGCCCCACATTTACTGAATTACCAAAGATGGTAATTCCAGTGTGCTAAAATTCTGTCTCTTGCAGAATTGGTAGCTGACTGCATGATGCTTGGGTATTTCCTTGGAACAGATGCCCCCATGCACGGGGTTTTTTGTTCTTAATTTACTTTTTCTTATTCTTTTTTGCAATGCAGACTACCTGTTTGGAGGATGTGTCTTACTATGCAATTGCAGGCATAGGATTAAGGATGAAAAGCAGACATCGAAATCAGAATATTCCTGTGTATATAATAAATGTGGGAAATTGTACAATTAAATTAATTCTCTTTCCAATGTGTTAAAGCATTTGAGAGGCACTGTTCAGTAAGATAAGCTCTCTCTTTACTCTGAAGAGTTGAGTCCTACCTTGGTATGGTGGATCATTGCATATTACGATTTCTAGTTTACAGGGTTGGCAAAACCTGTGCTTATCATCTGGTGTCACCTCTTGTGTAATGACAGCTGTGAACTTCACCTGAAATGGACCCAAGTCAACATTCGGGCAATCCCATATCTTACATTTGAGGTGCAAGATACGTTTCAGATAGATTTTCAGTTCTATTTAAAAACTCCAAGCAACAGAAATCACATTCCCTAGGTAAAATGTTCCAGTTGTTATTTAGCTGCAGTATTAAAATTTCACCTTCATTGTACAATCCGTTTACCTAGCATTACCTTCCAGAAAATGTCTTTAATTCTGCCTGTTTTGATCAAGCTATAGCAATGTGTGTGCTGGAGCAGTAAAATATTAATAAAGGAATAATGATATATAGAGACACATTGAAAAATCAGCACTTCCAGGTTAGAAAATTCAAACACGTGTTTAAAAGGCAAAGGGACAAGCATCTAGCATTTATCTTCAGTAAACTGCAAATCTTTTTTATTGTCTCCTTTTTCCTTTCAAATCAAACTGAAGGTCAATTTTTCAAAGTAGTGTGAGAAAGAGAACCATGGCCCTTCTGGAAGTGGACATGATTTCTTCTGTCAGTCAGATCTGTGACAAGGTGATACTGAGAGAGACTCCAAAGACGTTAGGGACTGAAGCTAGTAAAGAGGGTAGGTGCTAGGCTGTGTATCACAGGGATCTTCGGTATGGAGCAGTAACTAATGCAGTCAACAGGATAGGGATACATCTGCAGTCCCATTCCTAAGGCACTTCGCTAAAATGTCTAGAAATACATTCGTATTCATTTGGGATTCACTGCTTGGAACTTCTTCTTGAGGGTAGGCAATTACATTCTTTCATCTAAAGGGCTAAACAGAGCTAAAGGATTTAAATCGTGATAGAGGAACAGTAGCCCATAGTCACTATCTAGTTACTGATCCAGTAGTTAAAGAGCTCTAACTCAAGAAAGGAAGTATTTGGTTTATTCTCCACAGCCTCATGCATATTCAGTCTCACTTCTCATTCCCAGGAGAATACACTTACCACCAGATTAAAGGGATTGGAACAAACCTCTCTTCCATTGAAGCTGTGTCACTACATCTAAAAGAATCCAAGATTAATTTAAACAGAGAACAAGAGGAAGAGAGAGCATGGTTCCCTGTCTTCTGTTAGGACCCTCGCTTTGGGAAGAAGACATGATTTTCCTTCTAAAATATACATTATTTCTCTCTCAGATATTCTAATTTTTACATAGCTATCATTAATCCTAGGTATGGACACAAACCTTGTATTATTGGTATTGGTCTTTCTAATGACACCTACACATGTAACTTCTGTGTATTTTTGCTTTGCTACTCTCTCTCCTACCCACCCGCTCACAGCTCTCATCTTCACTAACCCATGCCAGCCACAGCAAAGTTCACTTCTTCACCAGGACAAACTAAAGCATTTACTGTAAACTGCCTTCCAGAAACAGTCCCCAACCTGAAATGTAACCCAGGTTCCTTATCACTAGATACCTCACCTTGACGTCAACTGGTCTGTTGAACAACTGAGGCCACCTTTCCTAGATGTATGGATGGGTCCGTGCCATTCACCTGTAGCCATCATAATTGACTAGCAACAGATCTTCATTGTGTGGTGTTTAATCAGCCATTTGTTCTCAAATCACTGCTCTATTAAGTGGCTTTGTGATAGTCTGTGTATCACTACTAGAAATACACCAGTGAGATGAAGATTTATAAATACCTTTGGACGACATGGACTAACCATATTTTGGGTTTTGTGAATCTCTGTTTAATCATGATAAGCATCAAATCAGGTGCTTCATGAATTGCTATTCCTGACATTCCACTGCCTTTCTCACCAAAACTTACATTGCATCAAAGTGCAGTTTGACAAGATTTGCTTCCCTTCTGAGTGTAATTCTCAGTCTTTCCTCCTGATAGGGATGGCTCATTACTTAGCTGCAACAATCTTTTGAATACATCTCTAACATTCATTTTTTCAAATCTAGTTTATTTTCAAGCAGAGAGATTATTTCCAGTAAAATGACTATCCCAGTATCTCTGTACAGAAGCCTCTCTGCAGAATCAAGACATCACCAAGCATATTACACTGAAATGTAGACCACAGCATTAGAACAAGGACACATCTTGAAATCTGTGAAATGCCACAGAAAAAGATGAGGCCAGGGAGAAGCTGGGGCTATGTGAATCTTCCTCACCCTGGTGAATAGATGCAGTCCTCAAGCTACAGCATTGCATGCAATTTACCAAGCTCTACCAGTATGCTCTCCCCTCTTCTCAATTAACCTTGAAAAGCTGAGAGATACTTCCCTGCTGCTTTCTGGATTGCCCCTTAAAACTCCTGCTCTTTGTTGACAGTTACAAAACTACACTTGCAGTTGGAAAATTAACTTTGCTGTAGTTTCTCTCTAATCAGACATTTGCAGCACACTTTTCCCAGCTACAGGCAATCCACTCTGCTCTAGTTTACTCCATTTCTCCACCCAGATTTTCTGTTTTAAGGAATATAGACATTACGTTATGCTTCAACAGCACTGCTAGCCCTGCTGATGCACATCACCCATGTCCGAGGCTCCTTTTCACTGCTGCCTCTGTATTAATTGAAGTTGCTGCTTTCCTCCTGGCCTTGCTAAGAATCTGTACACAGTTGTATAGGTTGACTTCAGCTTGTGCCCAAGCAGTTTGTTTTTCACTTGTTTCGTGATCTACTTTGCTTTAGTGCTCCTTTTTTGGGTAACATTGGTGCCATCACAGATCTATAGCAAAGGAGGAGGGAAAATTTAAGGTTAGATAACAGTCAACAAACATTTCGTTACACTTCACAGAAAAAAAGTGTTCTGCGCAGTATCTGGAAGGAACATTGCATAGAACAGGATGCCCTAGGCTCCCCCGTGGGCAGGTCACTCAGAAGGGGAAGGTTATAGCTGCAGGAATTCCGCTCCGAAGCGGTGCAGTGCAGTTCGCTGAGGTGTTTCTAACTTGTGGCACACAGACGGAAGCAATGTTCGAACGGGCCGGGGCTTCCCCCGTGATGCGATTTCGCCGCTCGCAACCCGCGGCTGAGGAGGGGGCCGGAGGTGCGGGGCGCGGAGGGGCCGCGCTCGCCTTCGCCCGCGCTGCCTCAGCGCCGCCGCCTCCCCGCGGCTCCGGCGGGACTGGGCCGGCCGGGGCCGCGGCCTCCCCTCCGTCCTTCCCTGTCGCTCAAGCGGCGGGACGGGCGCCCTGCCGCCCGCTCGCCCCCCCGCCGGCCCCGCTCCCGCACCGCTGCGGCAGCGCTCGGCCGGGGCAGCGCGGGCGCTCCGCCGGGAGAAAGGCGGGATGCGCTGAGCCCCGCTCTGCGCGGGGCCGGGCACAGGGAGCAAGGGCGCCCGCGGAGCGCCGCTGGGCCGGGGCTGAGGGACCGAGGCGCCGCCGCCGCCCGCGGCCGCCCCTCACCGCGCCGCCGCCCGGCCCCGGTAGCGCGCGGGGGCCCTGCGCGCGCGCGGCCGGGTGCCGAGCGCGGGGATTGGCTGGCGGCCGCGGCGCGTGCAGCCGGGTCCGGCGGGGCTGCAGCCAGAGCGCGGCTGGCGCGAGAGGGGACGGGGCCCGCGCTCCCTCCGCAGCCGCGGCCCCTCCGCGCCGCCGCCGGGGCTGTGGGAAGCTGCGGGGCCGCTCCCGCAGCTCCGGTCCCCGGGGGAGGGACGGGACGGGAGGGGAAGGAAAGGGGGGGCCCCTCGCCTGTGGAGGAATCCGCACCGGTGCTAAGTTATCTCCCAGAGACGGTGTGAGGCACTCGGGCTGCTCAACCTGCTGCCGCCGCCGCTGCCGGTAAACGCTCTTCACTTCTTACTCGCCTACATGCTCAGGGCTCTCCTCACCGCTCTCCATTCGGCAGCAGCGCCTGGAGCTGCAGCGTTTCTGTCTCTGTCGCTCCCTTCCTTTCCACCTCTTCCCCCCGCATCCCCTGTAATTGTGTTACTGGAGTTGACAACTTCTGATGTGTGTCTTGAAACCAGGCAGTCAGTGTTTGCTTTCCCGGAGCCGCTTAATTCAGCAGTTGGAGAGGTCATCAGTTGCGTGAGTTCCAGGGAGAGGATTCTCTGTGCCTCTGCAATAAGTGCTGCTGCTGCTGCTTTTCTGCCCATTAATTCTCATCCCCGATCGCTGGTATTTCTGTTACTGTTACCGTGTTTTAATGTTGCCTTTGTTCTTTAAGCTTTTTCCTTTTTGTTTGTTTGTTTTTTGATTGGTTTGTTTTGAGGTTTGGGTGTTTTGTTGTTTTTGTTTGTTTGTTTGTTTGTGTTTTTTCTTTTCTTTTTCCCGTTTCTTCTGGGATTGAAGTACAATATTTTTTTATTTTTTTTTTCCCCAGTTTTTGCCAACAGTGTGAAAAGGTGTCACTGATTCAGAAACTATTGTCCACAGTGCGTCTTGGTTGGGAACAGGCAGAGCGAAGGCAGGCATTTGTATTCCAAAAGGGAATTAAAACAAATGCTGCTTTGCATCATTGCTGCGGATTTGCAGGAAGCAGTAAGGGGCTATAACACTGTGTTGTTTGCTAAGATAATAAACGTAGAAGCGCTTTGGTGTGTCACATCTAGCCCTGCGATTGAGCTGGTTCGAAATTGCACTTAATAATACATTGAGAGCTGTGGAGGAAGCTGGCACGTAGCGCGTCCATCGCTGAGACAATGTACCGGCGTCGTGCGCTGACACAGCCCAGTCCTGTCAGACCTTCCTTGGAGTGCCAGTGGACAAGATGCTGCTCGGTGCCTTGGGTACACCCAAACTGACATTTAAATAAGGTGGCTTAAGGGATGTGGTTTGAGCTCTTAACTCTTATCTCTGAACCAGACTCCCTTTTCAACACTTCTTGTTAGGATGCTTGTAAATGCCAGTGTAAATGTTTGTCTGTAGCAGTTTCGGATGATTTAATACTACTGATGTCTTAATACAGGATTTTTGTGCCTTTTTTTAATTTTTTTCCATTCTTAAGTGTTCTGTCCTCTTAAAAGTCTCAAAATGTAATGGCAAGTATTGTCTGTGTGTGTGTATATCTGTGTACATCAGTAGTTATGTATTTATATGGATAATGTTTGCCTCGTACTCATTTAAATTTACCAAACCTTGTATGACATGGAGAAAACAGGTATTAGAACAGAAATGCAGAAACACAGAATTAAATGAGACTTCATTTAAAATGTTTACTTGAATAGTTAAAATATTATATAAGACCAAAGAAATTTCAAATGCATGCGTTGTAAAAAAGCAAAGTGTAGAAGTAGTAGTATTGAGGCAATTTAAGAAAATCAGCCTGGACTGAAAGAATAGAGAGTGCAAGCTGTCAGTAAGTATGTGCAGCTATCTACTATCCTCATAGAGCACTATGGAATGCTGCATAAAATCTGATGTAGGTAAAAAATGTACTCTTTGTTAAGCGCAGAGTTAATGACAGAGTAATCACCTGTTAATGTGGTTACTTGATGCAAGTTTAATAGTGAGCCTGGGTCGTACAGTCTCAAAAGTTTTTCTTCAAGCTTCAGAAGAATTTAGAGAGAGGTGATTCTTCCTTCAAGATATTTGTGTTGTCCTTCAGATTATACTGACTGGAGGAACTGGTGCATCTTCACCGTACAGAACGATGACAGGTATTTTCCTAAGGGGCTTATGTAAGTGCGAGGTAAAGTGGCTTTTTACAAGGGGCTGACAGCCTGGACATAGGTGGCATTTCTTGTGCTGTCAGGGTTCTAAATATATGCAAACTATGTATTTGGGCATAATTTTCCTATTCATTGGCAAATCAGTAACCAGGTTGATGATTAATTTTTCTTGACCCATATGCTGAGTTTTGTAGTAACTGAGTAATAAATAAAAACTGTTCCATATTACACTGCTATTGATTGTATGGTATTCAAAAAGCCAGCTGTGAGGTCTGAACTTTAATTCATTTTGAGAGGAAAACTTTTTTAGTTGAGGTTTCTTCATGTTCTGGCAACATCCAAGTGCTCACAGAAGTATTTTTTTTTTATTACAGTTGTTAACACATGTTCAACATATTTAAAAAAAATAATAAAAAAAAAGAAAAGAAAATAAAAAACCCAAAAGCTTTGATCGAAATAATAGTTTAGAATTTTTTTTCTGTTATCTTTAAACATTTCCTCTTAAGACAGTGCTCATATGAATCCAGTAGTCTTTTAATTCTCTATGTGCTTATTTTTCATCTGGATAATGAAAATAAAATAATTGTGTTTCTGTGTCATTAGTTTTCTAGTGTTACTGTAGCTTGGGAAAAAACGACATGTGAGCACACTAGTGATGTTATCCTCCAATTAAGTTGAACTGTATTTTAATTTTTAATATTTTGTACTAGAAGTCAAAGAGCTGCATGAGAAAATAGAGGTCACATGTGATTAACAGGAGCAGGAGCATTGATTTGAGGGGACTAACAGTTAAATTTCTTTGCCTTTTTAAAGAGTGTTTTTATTTCTGGGAAACGCAGCAATACATATCTATCAACTTGTGTCATATTATGGTCATGGCTTTGGCATTTTCCTGTCAAATACTGTTGTTTTTCTCTTTGCAGTCAAAGAAAATTTCTGGTGGCCAGTATTACTGTTAGAGTAAGTAATGGTGTAAAATGGGATAGTGATCTTGTGCTTAAAATTATTTAGAACAACATGGAAAAGGGAAAGTGTTTGTTCAGTTCAGTCAAGGTCAATGTCTAGACTTTCTTGTCTGAGAGGTCAAAATAAACTGAAGGTCAAATTAGATGGAGACAAAGCTCAGGCCACTGTTAGACTACTCAAGTCAATATACCGATGTTTGAAAAGCTGTTTCATGTTTGTCTGCAGTTTACTGTGAATTTAATCCCTCAATCCTTAATGTTTTTGGCACAAGGCGCATTTAGGAGCAGCACCTCTGAAGTCCGTGCTTAAAGATAAAAAAAACGAAAAATTATTGGACTGATCCTTTAAATAATAATATTCTTCTATATAAATGGATAGTTCTAAAAAGTCTGCCCTCCCCCACCCTGGACCTGTAACAGGAAATAGAACCTTAGAATATAAATTAGAATTCTTTCTACTGAACTGATTAAGATATGAGATATTTCAGTCCTAGCTTGTTTTTTTCACGTTAGTATTTAATGGAAATGGCAAGTTTTTTCCAGGCTTTTTTTCTTTTTAACTAATAATTTCACAAGATCTTTATCAGGAAGAATAGCTTTATGTAATTCTGTGCTATAATAGAAAAGATAGCTTTGCTGATACTACACATCTGCAGAGTGGGTTCATACTTTCTGACCTGAGGTGCCATGTCCCAGAGCCAACAGATAGTGACTCATCTTTCTAATTTCTTCCAGCACAAAACAGCTCCTGTACAGCGTACCTTTAGTTTATATGTAGGAGGTAGATATGAAATTACTCTGGCTGCATCACACTATTCCAACCACAGACTGGACCAACTTTGTGTCCTGGTCATCTCTGTAGCCTCAAAGAGCTCCTTGTCCTGATTCTTACTCTGAGTCACTTGGCTGAGCAACTACAGGAAGATGTAGAACATGCTCTGCAGTACAGCCTCACCTAATCCACATACAGATTTAAAAGATACTTTGGGGCATTCTCTGTTAGCTGAATTTTGTCTCACAGTTATTGCTCTGCATTGGGATCTCATAATGCTGCTGAAGTTCAAATACATTGTTTTAAATCCACCTTGCTGACTAACTCAATATTATCAGACTTCTTTGGATAAGCAGGAAGCGCACTAAGCTTAGATAGTATTCACTTTTTATTATTTTTTAAATAGATTCTTTTTGGTTGAATTGATTGACGTCCAGTGCCAAACAGTAATAAATTGTCTACTTTCATGTTATTGCTGAACATTAATAGCCTAGTAGTCATCCAAATAGGGTTGTAATTATAAGATTTTCAGCAGCAAGCTGCACAACACTGAATTATAAACTTCTGTTTCGCTGAGCAAGTTGTGAATGGATCCATGATGCTCACACTCCCTTACACCAGTGGCCATATTCAGACACATTCGGGGGGAATAATTCAGGAGACAAGTGATCTTAAGTCATGCTTCTTTCTTTAACTCAGGACCAGCTTTTGAGGAAAATACGTTTTACTGTCTGCTGAATGGAAAGCAAAATTGCACTGAGGTCAGGGGGGGGGCTTGGCTTTGGGGTTTGGGGATTCTTTTTGTTTTGGGTTTGTGTGGTTTGTGTGTGTGTGTTGGTTATGGGGTTTGGGGTTTGCTTCTTTTGTTCATTTTTTTTACTATGATGTCAGTCAATTAATATGGAGAAATTAAAAAAAAACAAAGTAGCCCCCTTTTTTGTTTTAGATAAAGTGTTTATTCTAGTTTTGTCTTAAGGGACTTTTTTCACAACATAAATGCATGCATTTAGCAAAAATGTAAACTGTAACCCTTCGGAACTACAAACCTCCATTAGGATTGTATAAAATACATGAGTAGATGCTCTTGAAGGATTTTCTTACTAATTTGGGGCACACCATAGCTGCCTTTATGTCTTTAGTAGGAGATTTAGAGCTTTCAGTTGGTCTCAATTCTCCAGATTTATCTGCAGCTTTTTAGCCCATGCAGACAAGGAAAGCACCAGGGATTGTCTGGAGGGGTGCACAAGCCTACCGAAATCATTAAGACACTTTAGGAGTATGGAAATAACTTCTGGAGAAAGTCCTTGTGGAAGGTACTGTGGGAAGTGTGTGGAGGGGCAGAACTGGCACCCAGTATAAGTGATAGGAACAAAACTGCCTTCTCTTGCTTATCCTTACTTATGGGAGGCTTCTGTGTGACCAGTGATACAA